TATTTGTTTGTCTCTTTCTGTCTTTATCATTTGCTTATTTATTAATTTGTACATATATATATATTTATTTATTTATTTGTTTGTCTCTCTGTCTCCTTTTACTGCGTCTTGTGTCTCCTTGTGTCTGTCTCTGTCTTTATATATATTTGCTGCTGCTTCTCTTCAGCTGTTCTTCTTGTATTTGTACTGTATGAATACGTTCAGTCACAGTGTCTGCTGCCGCTGCTGCTGCTTTTGCTTTTGCTGCTGCTGCTGTTGTTGTTGTTGCTGCTGCTGCTGCTGGCGCTGCTGCTGCTGCAGGTGCTGCAGCTCCTTGCTACTTCTGGCGTCGATCCGTGCTTGTAAAATAGAAGCCGAAGAGCAGCAGCAAAAGGTGCTGCTTCTGTTGCTGCTGCTGTTGCCGCTGCTGTTTCTGTTGCTGCTGCTGCTGTTGCTGCTGCGGAGACACCACAAAAAGGGATGGCTTGCTGCTGCTGTGTTTGTCTCCTTATCAGTCTTCTCTAGGTCTGCGTTTGTTGGTGTTGTTTGTTTTGTTTTGTTTGCTTACTTTATTTATTTGTTTATTTGTTTATTTGTTTGTTTGTTTGTTCGTTTTGAAGGAGACAGCAGCTGCTAGCGAATGAATGCACATTAAAGCTGAGGAGACACCCCAAGGAGACAGCAGACACCTCATCTGTCTCCTTCGGGTGTATGCGGAGACACCGCAATTTCTCTTTCTTGTCTCCTTTGCTCTCCCTCTTTCTGTCTCTTTTATCTGTCTTTAAACCCTCAGGAACAGCAAAGAGAGACGCCTGCTTTTACTCTATTTTTGCTGTCTCTCTCCCAGCAGAAAGGAGAAGACGCCCCTAAACCCTAAACCCTAAACCCTAAACCCTAAACCCTAGACCCCACAGCTCTTGAAACGCTTGGCAGAAACTCTTCGTCTGAGCTCCAAACTCTAAAACCTAAACCCTAAATACCAAACCCTAAACCCTAAACCCTAAACCCTAATGCTGTCTCCGCACTGCTGCTCGCCCGGTGCCTCCGTGCAGCTGCAACTATGAGGGAGACAGCAGCAGATCCTCCCTTTGAATTTGTTTGTATATAAAACAAGCAAAAACAAATATAAAAAGCAGAAAATGCTGCAGCAGTAGCGACAACCGCTGCTGCTGCTGCTGCTGCTGCTGCTGCTGCAGGGAGATAGGCGCCATACTGAGGTCACCTAACTCACGCAGCAGCAGCGAGAGCTGCTGCTGCTGCTGCAGCAAGACGGAGACTTGCTGCTTCCCCCTTTTAAAATACAAACTTCTTGTGTACATACACCTCAAGATTCTCCTTTCTCCCTGCGCTGGAAGACACCTGTCTCCTTGCTGCTCTGCAGCAGCAGCCCGAGCACAGCAGCAGCAGCAGCAGCAGCAGCAGCAGCAACAGCAGCAGCAGCAAGGCCAACAAAGGCAGAAATGTCTGAAGAGACACCTGTTTAACCAACAGCTGTACATACACCTAAGGTTTGCAGCAACACAATGCCCGCTGAGTGTGAGAACATTGTCTCCACAGCAGCAGCTGCTGCAGCAGCTGCTGCTGCTCCTGCTGTTGCTGCTGCTACAAACACTGCTGGAGACACCGCAACAAACTCGGTTGCTTCTTCTCCCCTAGACACCTCCGCACACACGGGGTCTCCTCGGGAGAGCTCTACAACAGCAGCAGCAGCAGCAGCAGCAGCAGCAGAAGCAGCAAACTGCACACCAACATCCACTCCCATGGGCGTCTCTCGGAGACAGAGACAGTATTACAGGCAGCAGCAGCGACAGCAGCAACGCCAGCAGCAGCAGCAGCAGCAAATCTTAGGCCTTGGCTCCCTGCGAGGAGCTCGCTTCACCAGCAACATCGGCAGCAAACGCACATGCAGCAACTGCAGCAACAGCACCACCAGCAGCCTGCAGTCTGTCCGCCTCCATCTCACTAACCACCTTTCAAATAGCCAAGTGGGTCTGCTGCTGCTGCTGCTGCTGTTGCTGCTGCTGCTGCTGCTGTGCCGCTCCTGCTGCCGTTGCTGGTGTTGCTGTTGTGTCTCTGTTGTTGCTGCTGCTGCTGCTGCTGTGCCGCTCTTGCTGCCGTTGCTGGTGTTGCTGTTGTGTCTCTGTTGTTGCTGGTACTGCTGTTGCTGCTGGCGCTGCTGCCGTTGCTGCTGCTGTTGTTCTTGCTGCTGGCCTTGTCTTTGTTTCTGCTGTTGCTGTTTCTGTTGGTTTTTCCGTTGTTGCTGCTGGTATGCTGCTGTTGCTGCTGCTGCTGCTGCTGCTGTTGCTGCAACATTTGGTAATAGTAAGGCAAACAAATCTGCTGCCCTTGCGTCTTTCACTGCTCGCCTGGCTACGCCTGCTGCTTCTTGCTGCTGCTGCTGCTGCTGCTGCTGCTGTTCAGGCGGAGTTGGAAGTGCATGGAGTCGATGTTGCTGCAGTTGCTGGCAGCATTGTTAACCGCCTCGCTCTGACGCTGCAGCAAGCCCCACGTATTGCGGATGCAGCAGCAGCAGCAACAGCAGCAAATGCGTCCTCCTTAGGCGCAGCACCAGCAGCAGCAACAGAGGCCGCCGCTGCAGCAACAGCAGCAGCAGGAGCTGCTACTGCTGCTTCGAACGCTGCACCAGCTACTGCTGGAGACCCTGCTGGAATCCAGAAGCAGCAACTGGAGCTGCTGCAGCAGAGGCAGCAGCAACAACAGCTACAACAACTCTCACTCCTGCAGCAGCAGCAACAGCAACTCTCGCTGTGGCAGCAGCAGCAAGAACAACTGGCACTCCTACAGCAGCAGCAACAACAACAGCTCATGCTCTTGCAGCAGCAGCAGCAACAACAGCAGCGGCAACAGCAGCAGCAACAGCAGCGGCAACAGCAGCAGCAACAGCAGCAACAGCAGCAACAGCAGCAGCAGCAGCAACGGCAGCTGCAGCAGCACATTCAGCTGCGCAAGAGAAGCAGCAGCAGCAGCAATTCCGGTGTATCCCTCTGCTGCTCTTCGCAGCCGCCGCTCTATTGTAATACCCCCAACGCCTCTTCCCCGTCGCCCTGCTGCTGCTGCTTCTCCTCCTGGCTTCTACAAGCAGCAGCACGACAAGCAGCAGCTGCTGCAGCAAAGAGCCAAGCAGCTGCTGCTGCAGCAACAAAACCAAATCAAGCAGCAACGTGTAAACCTCCAGAGGCAGCAAGAACATCTGCAGCAACTGCTTGCCCATAAGCAGCAGCTGCTGCTGCAGGCTCAACGGGGAGAGGACCAGCAGCAGCAACAGCAGCAACAGCAGCAGCAAGTGCAGCAATACGAACAGCAGCAACTACTGCATCACCAACTTCAGCAACAAAACATGCAACAGCAGGAGCTGCAGCAGCAGCAGCAGCAGCAAGGCTCCTTTGGAGGGGCCCACGGATACTTTCTAACCAAACCGATGGGTCAGCTACAGCAGCCTCAGGCGCAGCAGCAGCAGCAGCATCAGCAGCAGCAGCAGCAGCGGCTTCTGCTGCAGCAACAGATCGCGGGTGCGGACTCCCCTAGCAGCAAGCAGGGAGGAGTGCAGCAGCAGCAGCAGCAGGATGGATACAAAGGAGCCAAAGAGCAGCAGCAAGACCTCAGGCGAAGCGGCAGCAGCACTGTCTCCACAGCCACGAGCACTGTATGCGGAGACAGTTTGCTGCGGCGCCTCTCTTCTATCCAGGGCCCTAAGCTTGATGAGGCTGCTGCCAAGCTGCAGCAGCAACAGCAGCAGCAGCAGCAAGTGCAGCACAAGGTGCACACGCAGACACAGAATGAAGGCGCAGAGCAGCAGCACGGGCAACTCCAGACAGGGCAGAGGCTACTGCAGCAGCAGCAGCAGCAGCAGCAGCAGCAGCAGCAGCCCCTGTACCAGCAACACCGGATGCTGCAGGAATTGCAGTTCCGTATGCAGCATGACGCGTGTGAGCAGATGAGCCAGCGCCTGCAGCAGCAACAGCAGCAGCAGCAGCAGCGGCAGCGGCAGCATGCAGCTGCCCATAACCGCAGCCAAACACCCAACCCCAGCAGCAGCAGCAGCAGCAGCAGCAGCAGCAGCATGGGGCAGCAAGCGTTTGTCTATGGGGCTGCCAGAAGAAGATCTGCAACGCCGGGTCTCTTCTCAACCAGTCCCCCCTCTGGTGCAGCAGCAACCCAGCAGCAACAGCAGCAGCAGCAGGGTGCTGTCTTTCTACATCACGCGGCTGCTGCTGGTGCTGCTGCAGCAGCAGCGCGAGATAGCAGCAATCGATTCTCTCTGCCTGAAGGACACGTGGTGGTTCAGGAGGAGGTGAAGGCCCAAGTGTTAGATATGGCTGCTGCTGCTACAGTAGCGAGAAGCACGAGCGGCGCAGCAGCAGCAGCAGCAACTGCAGCAGCAGCAGCAGCAGCAAAACCACTGCCTGTTCAACTCACACGCCTCAGGCCTTATTTAGTCCCTGTCGATATTTATATCCCGAAGCTTGTTCAGGTGCCGCTGCATGTTGTGCAGCAGCACGTAAACTATGAAGCTGTTGCAGCAGAAGCAGCAGCAAACCCTGCTGCTGCATCTCCCCAGAAGCTACAAACACCCCACAAGCAGCAGCAGCAGCGGGAGCTCGAGGCCTTCAACAAACAGCAGCACCAACACTTCGCCGCTATGCTGCAACGAGCGAAGCAGCAAGCAGCAATATGCGGAGCTCAGACCCTGCCTTTGGAGCACCTGCTGCAGCACCAGCAGCAGCTGCTGCAGCAGCAGATGCTGCAGCCGCAGCTGCTGCAGCAGCAGCCACAGCAGCAAGCGGCTTCCCGCTAGCCCAGTGCTCCGCAATACATATTCCTTGCCTCCACATCCCTAAACCCTAAACCCTAAACCCTAAACCCTAAAGGGTGGTATATAGGGCAGAGAAGAATGAATGGAGAGTTGAGGCTTCACGCATGTCTTCGGTCGCTACAGTCATATACATATCTCCAGCTGCAGAAGCAGCAACTGCTGCAGCAGCAACTCCAGCAGCAGCAACTCCAGCAGCAGCAACTGCTGCAGCAACAACTGCTGCAGCAACAACTGCTGCTGCAACAACTCCAGCAGCAGCAACTGCTGCTGCAGCAACTGCAACAGCAGAGCATCTCCATCAGCCGCTTCTACAGAAGCAGCAACTGGAGCGGCAGCACCTGCACCAGCAGGATCTGCAGCAGCAGAACCAGCAGCAGTAGCTGCAGCAGAATCAACTGCACAGCAGATATCCGCTCTAGTGCTACATCTGAAAGTGCACTTCGATGCAGAGGGGGCCATTCGTCGTTCCCGATGCTGCTGCTGCTGCTGCTGCTGCTGCTGTTGCTGCTGCACTAAGTGTTTTCTCTCGCATCAATGAACTGTGGGGCTCGCGGGGTGTCTGCGCACCTTGCAGCTCTCTGCATATAAATTAAAAACACTGAAGCAGCAAAGCAGCCGCAGCTGCCGCTGCACCAGTAAGAATGCATGCAAGTAGCAGCAGCAGCAGCAGCAGCAGCAACAGCAACAGCAGCAACAGGAGCAGCAACCACGGGCGTATAAAGTCGTGTCAGTACCAGTCACATCACCTGCAGCAAAAGGCTGCATGGTTTTGAGATCCTCCCCCTTAGCCCCTAAACCAAAACCCTAAACCCTAAACCCTAAACCCTAAACCCTAAACCCTAGAGGTGTAGGGGTGTCTACCGGTGTCGGGGTGGCCCTATTCTCAGGGACTTTAAATGCTGCAGCAGCAGCAGAGTCAAATTTTGCCTCTCTAAGGAAACCCTTATAGCAGCAGCAGCACTTAGCTGCTGCTGCTGCTGCTGCTGTAGGTGCTGCAGCAGCAACTGCTGCTGCAGCAGCAACAGCAGGTGCTGCTGCAGAGAAACAGATACAAGAAGCTGCAGCAGCAACAGCAGATGCTGCTGCAGAGAAACCGATATAAGAAGCTGCCCCCGTTTCTAGGGCAGCGGCTTGAGTGTGACAGAACGTATGTACACCAAAGGGCTCTTCAGCCGCTGCTGCTGCTGCTGCTGCTGCTGCTGCTGCTGCTGGGGTGAAAATAGCGCAACAATGGAGCAGACGTGCTTCTCCCTAAACGCCAGGACTTTTGATGCTGCATAGACGCCCCAATTGATGCTGCCGCTGCTGCTGCTGCTGCTGCTGCTGCTATGGAGTTGGTTGGGCGGGAGCAGCACCCACTTGGCTTCGCTTTGCTGCTGCTGCGCTGCTGACGACAGCAGCAAGCCCAGGGGCAGCAGCAGCTGCTTGTCTTCGTCTTGACTCTCGTCTCTGTCTAATCCACCCCAGGACATCCCTCCTTCTGTCTCAACGTTAGCAGCAATACATCTAACTGCAGCACCAGCAAATCCAGCAGGCAGTGTGCTGCGCCCCACACCCAGCACACACACACACAAAGCAAAGTAAAGCAACCTCGCTGCTGCTGCTGCTGCTGCTGATGCTGCTGCTGATGATGCTGATGATGATGATGCGGTGCATGTGAGGCTGCTGCACCTCGAAGCAAATCTCAGCAGCAAAAAGCTCATGCTGCCTATAAGGGAGAACAAATAAACAAACACAACTATGCTGCTGCTGCTGCTTCTGCTGCTACTTCTGCTGCTGCTGCTGCTGCTGATGCTGCTGCTGCACTTACTCGCCGTTGCCGGCAGGCAGATCGTCAACTGAGATGTCTGGGGGAAAGATAGTTGGTACAGGGGGTGCAGCAGCAGTTGCTGCAGCTGCTGCTGAGGCTGCTGCTGCTGCAGACTCTTCAGCAGCAACAAACGAAGCAGCAAACTGCACGCGCCCCGTCATCACCACCGAAGGGCCCCTGCAAGCAGCAGCAGCAGCAGCAACAGCAGCAACAGCAAACGCAACAGCAGGTCTCTTAATTGTCTCTATTTATATCTCCAGCAGCTGTCTCCTTCTGTAGGCGTCTCTGTCTTAGAGCGCATCTGTCTCTCTTGTTTAATTTCTATCTGTCTCCTTGTGCTGCTCTGTCTCCTCTGCATTTGTTGATTGTCTTCGTTTGCTTCTTTAATTATCTGTCTCCTTATTTGCTTCTTTATTTATCTGTCTCTTTTTTATTATTTAATATTGTCTCTTCATTTGTCTGTCTCTTAATTTGTCTCCTCATTAATTAATTTATTAATTTGCCTCTTCATTAAACTGTCTCCATTCATTTATTTCTTTATTAGTTAATCTATTTATTAATTCGTCTCTTTATTAATATTTATATTAATGCGTCTCTCAATTAATTAATCAATTAATTAATTTATTTATTTATTTATCAGTTTATCTGTTTAATAATCTGTCTCCTTTTTACTGTCTCCTTACTGCAGCGCCGCTGCAGCCAAAGCAGCGCCGACTTCGCCTGGCTCGGGGCCCACCGCCACCTGACCCCCCCAACCCCCTCCCAGCCAGTCATCGAGATTCATCCTGCAGCAGCAGCAGCAGCAGCAGCAGAAGCGGCAGCAGCAGCAAAAGCAGCAGCACATGCAGCAGAAGCAGTAGGTAAGCAGCAGTGGAAGCAGCAGCTGCAGGAGGTAAGCAACAGCATCACCAGCAGAAGCAGCAGAAGCAGTAGGTAAGCAGCAGCAGCAGAAGCAGTAGCAGCAGCAGCAGCAGTAGCAGCAGCAGCAGCAGTAGCAGCAGCAGCAGCAGTAGCAGCAGCAGCAGCAGTAGCAGCAGCAGCAGCAGATTTCAATCTCCTGTCCACCTCAGCGCTACGCACGCAGCAGCTTTCGGCACATGTACTGCAAAAGCAACAGCAGCAACAGCAGCAAACGCAGCAACAGTAGTAGCAGCAGCAGGCATGACGCATTGGCCCTACTTCACGATCTTTAGCCTCTGCTGCTGCTGCTGCTGCTGCTTGTGCGGGTGAAGCAGCAGCGGCCGCCAGCCGTGAAGAGACAGCCCCGGCGACGGCTCGAAGTAAAAGAGTTTTGTTCCTGCGGTGTACATACATCGCATGCATGTCTGCTCAGCTGCTGCAGTTGCATTTAGTGCTGCAGCAGCTGCTGCTGCTGCTGCCGCTGCTGCTGCTGCAGCTGCTGCTGCTGGTTGCGGCTTACTTTGAAGTCTCCTTCCAACGATCTCCCAGACAACACCCGACGAGACAGGCTGCTGCTCGAACTCTGTGCAGCAAATAAGCAGCAACAGCAACAGCAGCAGCAACACATGCGCACGGGAGATCATACACGCGCTGCTGCTGCTGTTTGTATTACTGCTGCTGCTGCTGCTGTTGCTGCTGTTGCTGCTGCTGCTGCTGCTGCTGCTTTTATTGCTGCTGCTGCTGCTGCTGCTGCTGTTGCTGCTGTTGCTGCT